TTTTGCTTATGTGGTGCTGAGGAATCGAACCCAGGGCCTCAGGCATGCAAGGCAAGCGCTCTACTACTGAGCCACCTTCCCAGCCCCTGGAAAGTTCTTAAGATTAAGAATAGATTGCAAGCCAGATTGGAAAGTTCTTATGATTAAGAATAGATTATGAGTTGGTCACTGGTGGCTCATACTCCTAGCTATTCAAGAGGCTGCGATCTAAGGATTGCAGTTCAAAGCCAGCCCAGGCAGGAAAGTCCATGAGACTTATCTCCAATTAACCACCAGAAAACCGGAAGTGGCCCTGTGGCTTAAAGTGTTAGAGCACTAGTCTTGAGCTGAAGAGCTGATCAGGGACAGCACCCAGGCCCAGAGTTCAGGCCCCAACAAAAAAAAAGAAAGGAAGGAAGAAATTATGATCAGAACAGACATCATGAATACTGGATACTTAGATATAGAGAAAAATTTTACATAAAAATGAGCCCGATACAATGATGATAACATAGTTCAGCAGACTTAACACTTTCGCTCCTATCTGATGTAAGAAAAAAAAAATGAGCCAGAACTTTTTTTCCCATGGATTTTCACATTTCAGGTTTTGGGTTTTTTTTGCCAATTCTTTATTGTGATTAAGTGATTACATAATTTCACAAATTGTACAGTATTGTGGGATAGTGATGCTTAGTTAAATTCACAGACATTTCTAACTTTCATGGGGCAGATTGTCTATCATGATCTATAAAGTTTATGAGTTCTATGAGCTTTAACAATAGTTATTTCTTCCACATTGGGTGATATGTACATTCCTTTCCTTTTGCATAGTGTCAGCTGTTCCCTTTTTCCCACTCATTCCCTACCTCCCATCACTGCCATTGAGTTGCTTAGTTCTTTTTGATCAATGTCCAATGCAGCTGATGGGTCCCATTGTTGTACGATTTTCCCCTTATTCCCTCTAGTTCTGTGTCCTCCTCCTACTTTCCCTCTGGTGTGCATATACATACCATGTGTGTGATCAGCAGCATGAGGTTATTTAGTAGTGATTCGACCAGATGAGTGGAAGTCCTTTGTTTCTCAAGTCTTGTCAACTTTGTCATATACCTTAAGTTTTGGATTTAACATCTACTTATCAGGGAGACCATGTGCCATTTATCTCTTTGCTCTTGGCTTACCTCACTCAACATGCTTTCTTCTAGTTCCATCCATATCCCTGCAAATGCCATTATTTTGTCCTTTCTAATGACTGCATAATATTCCATTGTACATAGATACCACAATTTTTGGATCCATTCATCTGTGGTGGGGCATCTGGGGTGTTTCCATATCCTGGCTATTGTGAACATGTTCATGTGTCCTTGTATCCTGGTTCGTGTTGTTCAGGATAGATGCCTAGGAGTAGTGGTATGGCTGGGTCATAGGGGAGGTCTATATTTAGCTTTCTGAGGACTTTCCAGACTCCTTTCCAAAGTGATTGTATAAGTGTACATTCCCACCAGCAGTGTAATAGGGTTCCTCTTTCTCTGTATCCCCTCCAGCATTTGTCGTTGGCTGACTTTAGGATGTGAGACATTCTGATGGGTAAGGTGATATCTCAGGGTTGTATTTATTTGCATTTCCTTTACAACCAGGGATGGTGAACATTTCCTCATGTGTTTCTTTGGCATTTTTATCTCTTCTTCTGAGAAGTCTCTCTTTAGTTCCCTTGCCCAGTTAGTAATTGGTTTGTTGGGTTTGGGAGGAATTAGTTTCTTGAGTTATCTGTGTATACTGGATATTTACCCCTTGTCTGATATATTGCTGGTAAATATTTTTTCCCAGTTGGTTGTCTTTCTAGCTTGGTTGCTATGACTTTAACTATGCAGAAATTTTTTATTTTAAGGTAGTACCATTTGTCGAGTCTCCCTCCAATTTTTTCTGACCCTGGAACTCTGTTCAGGAAGTTCCTGCCTATATCTATAAGTTCAAGTGTCTCTCCTACTCTGTCCTGCAGTAGTTTCAGAGATTCAGGTTTGATGTTAAGGTCTTTAATCCATTTTGAGTTAGTGCATGGTGACAGGCTGGGGTCCACTTTTAGTTTTGTGCATGTGGCCGTCCAGTTTTCCCAGCACCAGTAGTTGAGGAGGCTGTCAGTTTTAATATACATACATTGACTTTTAGAGATTTAATCAGGATTCAGACTTAATTGAATACCTCTTGTTCATGAAGTCTGGGATATTGAGGTTGTAAAGATACAAGCCATGACTGTACTTACATTGTTATATTTATTGAACAAACAAATTCCTCTTTCCTGCCTCTTTCTGCTTGCTTTTCTTGCTTTCTCTTCTCTTCTCTTTCTTTCCTTTCCCTCCCTTCCTCCCTTCCTTTTTCTTTATTTCTTTCTTTTCTTTCTTTCTTTCTTTCCTTCCTTCTTCCTTTCTTTCTTTTCTTTCTCTCTTTCTTTCTTTCTTTCTTTCTTTCTTTCTTTCTTTCTTTCTTTCTTTCTTTCTTTCTTTCTTTCTTTCTTTCTTTTCTTGTGCCTGTCATGGGGCTTCAACACTGGGCTTGGGTACTGTCCCTGACCTTTTTTGCTCAAGGCCAACACTCTACCACTTGAGCCACAGCTCCACTTCCAGCTATTTTGGTGCTTAATTGGAGATAAGAGTCTCATGGATTTTGCTGCCCAGGCTGGCTTCAAATGTTTAGATGTTCAAATTTTAGCCTCCTGAGTATCTAGGATTACAGGTATAAACCACTGGCACCCAGCATCTTTTCTTCTTTGATTCTTAGAGATTCTTTACCTCAAGCCTAGAATATATCATTTTCCAGCATTGTCCAAACAGGTAATCCAAGGTTCTTACTTTGCTGCCTCTAGTTGAGAGATAAATACCATTTGGTTTAACAGCGGTTTTATCAGTGTTCTTAAGCAGGGAGAATTCAGAACAGAGAAAGAGAGTATGAGATCTTGAACTCAGGGCCAGAGCCAGGCAGGGCCTTGGCACTGTTGAGGGAAGAAAGAATTCAGAGCAGAGGGGTAGAAAGAGAGAGAGAGTGTGAGTCCGTGCGTGCGTGCATGCGTGTGTGTGTGTGTGTTATGGGGTCTTGAACTTGGCCTGGGCACTGTTGAGGGAAGAAAGAATTCAGAGCAGAGGGGTAGAAAGAGAGAGAGAGAGTCCATGCATGTGTGTGTGTGTGCGCGCGCGCGCGTGTGTGTGTGTGTGTGTGTGTGTGTGTGTTATGGGGTCTTGAACTTGGCCTGGGCACTGTTGCTAGGCTTTTGTCCTCAAGGCTAGCACTCTATTACAACTTCACTTGCACCTTTTTGTTGGTTAATTGGAAATAAGAATGTCAGACTTTCCTTACCAAGGTGGCTAAACCAATATTCTCAGATCTCAGCCTGTTGAATAGTTAGAGTTATAGATATAAGCCACCCATGCCTGGCCCAGATGAATATTCTCCTTGTAAAGCAACCTCAGCCTACGCCTGGGAAATATAGCTCAGACACTTCCTAGCATGTGTGAAGCCCTTGGGTTGATCCTCAACACTGAAAAGAAAAAATTCTAAATAAAGCACAGACACCATGCAATATGAGAACCATAAAAGGTGATTGGTCACATTACGTTTCTGTCACAACAGTAGCAGCTTTTTCAACAATAAAGAACAAAGTTTGATCAGAATATCTAATAGTGGGTGTCATATAGTTAGTTCATAGGGTTTTCAGAAAAGTTTTCCAAGAACAGTTAGCTCAAAAAAATAAAGAAGTTGAACTACTTGATTACTCTTGATTAGAAACACAAGTTCCTTGTTTTTCTGTAGAGTACTGTGACTCGAGCTCAGTATCCAACACTTTTGCTCATTGATTGGCACTCTACTACTTGAGCCACGCCTCCAACACCAAGAAACATGAATATTTTTAAATAAAGTCATTTACATATATCTTTGATTAATGCTGCAATTTAAATTATTTAGCATTGTGCTGCTGCATCTCCATATCCTAAAAGGAAACAAATATGTGAATTGTTGTTAAGAAAAGGAGCAAACATCAATGAAAAAACTAAAGAGTAAGTATACTTTTCATATTTAAATATTATTGATATTTTGGTCTTCAGGAAATATACTCATTGGCTGACTTTTTCTCTTTTAAGATTCTTGACTCCTCTGCACGTGGCATCTGAGAAAGCTCACAATGATGTTGTTGAAGTAGTGGTGAAACATGAAGCAAAGGTATATTTCATTTTTGGTAATCTTTGGTAATTCAATATATTATTTTTTATTTAGCAGGTGGCTTTTTGAACTTTTTTATAAGGTTTTTTTTTCTCTTGATCTACACTTAAAAACAGTTTCATAGGTATTTTTTTTCTATATTTTTTGCTACAAGATTTACATATTAATTACATACATATTTTTTCTTCTCCATTCCTTTTAACTATATCCCATTGGCCAAAGTCATCCTTAAGTACTCTCACTTTTATTTGGAGGTGGGAGGTCAGGTGGTATGTATCTGTGTATGTGCACACACATGTTTATATTCCTGGTGCTAGATTCAGATCAACTTACGCAATGCAACTTGAGCCATACCTCCAGATAGAGTCTTGCAGACTTTGCTGCCTGGTTTGCTTCAAACTATGATCCTCCAGGTCTCAGCCTCCGAGTAGCAAAGATTACAGATGTTGACTACTAGTACTCAGCTCTTTATTTAACAGTACCTGTTCCAGAATATATCCTAGCAAGAGACATACTGACTAGTCTTTTTCTAGTTGTCTTTTCTCACCTGAATCTTCCATTCCTTAGTTACCACGATAACTCCTACTTGCCACAGAAATAATCTTTGTACCTTCTGTTATTTCCGTAACTAAGCCAAAGAACTTGAATAGAAAGAAAGAATTTAAATACTTTAGTTAAAAACAATGTATCTACCCATCTTGATTAATGTCCTTTAGCATTTGTGTACAAAGCATTTATTCACTGAGTAACTACTTCCACTAAGGCTAGAAATCATTATTTCTTATCCAGGAACTTAAAAAATACACAACTTAAAAAATACACAAAGCAGAAACAATAGTTAGTTTCTTCAGCATTTTTTAAACTTCAGATATTGCCTTTTACAAACAAAACCTTTAGTAAAAGTATACTATATAATAGAAAAAATGGATAAAGGAAGAATAAAGAAACAAAGACTTCATTTCCCTGGAATAGTCCTTGGGATCCTTTCCTAATCAGATTTGGGGGGAGGGTTGTTTTTGTTTTGGGTGTTTTGGTTTTTTTTTGCATTAGTACTGGGGGTGGAATTCTCTTTTGGCTTTCTTGCTCAAGGCTACTGATCTACTTTCTCAGCCATACCTCCACTTCTGACTTTTTGCTGATTAGTTAAGAGATAAGAATCTCACAGACTTTTTTCCATTTTTTCTACTTGGGCTGGCTTCAAACCATGATCTTCAGATCTCAGCCTCCTAAGTAGCTAGGATTACTGGAGTGACCCACCCATACCCATCCCTAACCAGGTTTTGAAAAATAGTTTTATCTTTCCTTCCTTGGGTCTCTACTCAAAGAACTACTTAGAATTTTCCAGTTTCTTTTTCTGTTACCTTTCACTGTCCTAATCTCACTTTGATTTGGGGGAGTTCTTGATAATGTGTGAATCTTGGCCTTTCCTATTGTAAATTTTTCAATGAAATAAAGTTTATTTCTGCTTGACTGCTTGGCATATCTCATTTGTCTCTCTGTTCTGTATCTTCATTGATTACTTTTTTCATACATGTGGTGTGTTATTTGAAGAATATATTCATACATTGATTTTTTGAAACTCAAAATAGTCTTGACTAGGGTGACTGAGCACTCAGTTTTACCCAGGACTTGGGTAATCCAAAAAACAGGATTTTCAGGAAGTGGTGCTGTGGCTTATTTGGTAGAGCGCTCTCCTTGAGCTGAAGAGCTGAGGGACAGTGCCCAGGCCCAGAGTTCAAGTCCCACAACCAACCCCCCCCCCCAAAAAAAAACCAGGACTTTTAGTGTAAAAACTGAAAAAGTCCCAGGCAAACTAGAACAAGTTGGTCACCCTAATCATAACACAGTGGTATCCAAAACTGTTTTCAAGTGATGTTTCTCATACTGACGTGAAATCTTTCAGATTCTAAAAGAATGGAGATTGGCTATTCATAGTCTAGTTTTATGTTCATTGCAGTGTTTCTATTTCTGATTTCATGAATATGAATCAGCCAGTATCTAAAAATGTATTAGTGGACACTGGGTTGATAACTGAAGAACTTAATTTCTCAGCTATGTTTTGAATTATATCTATGGTCAAGAGTCAGAATTAAGGATGGAATAGGGTTGTACAAGTATTTTTTTCCTTGTGAAGAATTTCAAAAATACAGCTGAATTGAAAAAATATTAAAGAACATAAAGATTTTGCCACTAACGTTTTATTATGTTTTTACATATCCATCAATCTTATTTTTTATGCATATCAAAATAAATTTCCAATTATTGTACTTATCCCTAAGTATTTCCAAATGTGAATCAGTGTGAGCTCAACATTCATAATTTCTGTTTAGATAAATTACATGCCTTGAAAGGTACAGCTATTAAATGAACATTTGCTGAAAATTGACAAGTGTATTCATTTGTGTAGCCAAAACTGTTGAGAGAAAGAACATGGGTTTGGTGATGTTGCTCAGTGGTCATAGCTTGCAAGGCCCTGGATTCAGCATCCAGCATGACTACTACCCCACCAGAAAAGATAATATTAATATCCCATCCCTAGTAATGTTAACTTCTTGACGTAATAGCCATTTTTACTTTCTGACATAAGTTAGATTTGCCTCTTGAAGCCTTGATAACATGGAATCATACAGCATATACTCTTGTATAAGGATTTTTCCACTCTAATATTTTGGACATTCATCAACATATCAACTTTTTCCATTGAATTGCTGAGAAGTATTCCGCTGTGTGGATATACTCTTACATTTATGCAGATTATACTTTACATGATAATGAGATAGACAAGCAACAGAGATAAATATTTTAAGGGCAGGGGCTATGTCTCGGTGGTAGAAGCAAGCTTGCCTAGTTTGAACATAGTCGGAATTTAATCCCTAGAACCACAAAAAGGGAGGGAAAAGAGATGAGCATTTTAATGCTAAGTAATATCCACTTTTGTTCCTAGCCATTGTTAATCTCCATACCCCCCAGAGAGCCTGTAAAATTCATGGACTCGACTTTCTTGGCCATGTCTAGCTCTAAATAGGATAAATCTATGGATGCTTTAATGTTAACCACAACTATTACTTAATGTCTCACAACTTTTCAATCAAAATTTGAGTTTTCTGGCCAGGTGCTAGTGGCTTATACCTGTAATCCTAGTTACTCAAGGGGCTGAAGTCTGAGGATAATGGTTCAAAGCCTGTCTAGGCAGGAAAGTCCATGAGACTCTTACCTTCAACAAACCACTCAAAATTGAAAATAGAGCTCTGGCTCTAAGTGGTAGAGCAGAGTACTAGCCTTGAATGAAGTAGCTCAGAGATACTGCCCAGGTCCTGAGTCCAAGCCCCACACCAACAAAAAGAAAGTTATTAAATACTACTAACATATAGGGATGATAAGAGATTTAAACCCATTGGTACTAAATCTACAATAATAGGTTACCAGATGTTTTTATTTGGTTTGGGGCACTTGAGCAGAACTACGGATGTGAGTATCAAAAAGGAATTTTCCTTCAAGTTGCCTGCATTGTAACATTGGCAGCATAGTATGGTAGCATAAATTTACTGCACTATAGACTAACTTCAACTTTTTCTGCGTTAAGGTTAATGCATTGGATAATCTTGGTCAGACGTCCCTGCACAGAGCTGCACATTGTGGACACTTACAAACTTGTCGTCTACTCCTGAGCTATGGATGTGATCCTAACATTATATCCCTTCAAGGCTTTACTGCCTTGCAGATGGGAAATGAAAATGTACAGCAACTCCTTCAAGGTATTAAGTGCTTACATCATCATCATTATTATTAGCCTTTACTTTTTTACGTACTAAGTGTTGTATGTAAGAGTTGGTAAGTAAAAGAAAATTTTTGTTTTCTTCTTAGTTCATACTTTAATCACTTCATTATACTTAATACCCAAATGTCATTAACTCATATGATTTTGTTCAAGTATCATTTTTGCTGAGTTGCTCTAAGTAGATGGCTTTAACTTTTTTATACAGGAAGTTTTTTTGATTTTTGTTTTTTTTTGTTTTTTTTTTAAAAACTTTTCTTCTGGATGTAGTGGTGTACAACTGTAATACCAGAAAGTGGGATGATAGCTGTTGACTATATAATGAGACTGTGTATCAGCCTTGGTTTTTTGTTTTGGGTTTTTTTAAATTAAGATACAGCTAACCCACACACACTTTTTAGCTCACACTGGTGATTCTAGATACTCAGGATGCTGGAGGTTCACAGTTCAAAGCCAGCCCAAGCAGAAAAGTCTGAGAGACTACATCTCTAACAGCAAAATGCAAGACTGGAAGTAAGGCTTAAGTCAGTAGAGTGCTAGCTAAGCAAGCTGAGAATGAGTCCAAAGACCTGAGTTCAGGCCTCAGTACCCAGTGAAAATAAGAAAGGAAAACTTAAGAAGGTGTAAGGGGGCCAGACACTGGTGGCTCATGCCGGTATTCCATGCTACTCAGGAGGCTGAGAATCTGAGGTCTGCTGTTGAAAGTCAGTCCAGGTAAGAAAGTCTGTGAGACTTTTACCTCCAGTTAACCACCAGAAAAGCGACAGTGTGGAAGCGACAGTGTGGCTCAAAGTGGTAGAGCACAATTTGCTCAAGGAAACACCCAGGCCCCATGTTCAAGCCCTACAACTGACGAAAAAAGGTGAAAGGGTCTTCAAGGATCTTTTAGTATAACAATCCTAGTGATAAGTACAGCCTAAATACTAGCTGTGCTTCATTGCCTTTTAGATCCTGCCTATTGAAGGCATGTGGAATTTATATGAGTTATTAGAACTTACTTCATTGAATTTGTTCATACTCATTATTTTAAGATATTTGGATTAAACATCTTCACACTGAACATAGATTGAACATAGATCTCAAAACTCAGGTAGCAAATAGATCAAGCCTTTACTTTCTTATTTTAACAATAATTCTTAATGATCTTATGCCGGTGATGTGAGAACCACTTTGCAATGTACTGCTTAAAGAGATGAAGGCAGATTGATACAACCTCCTAGGATCTGCCACAATTGAATTAACTACAAATGTACTTTCAAGATTACTCCCATATATTACACTTGATTAGAGATTAAGAATACTAGTCCTGCTCAGTTCCCCAGTGATAGAATTTATAGCCTTGGCAGTTTTATGCTAAATAGTATTATATAGCTTTACTTATCTTTCCCACTCATTTCTTAGAATAAATTTGGAATTTTCAAGGTAGATTATCTTCTAGAAAAACTATATACTATTTTGCACTCCTACTAACACTGATGACATGTTTTCCTTGTTGGCACCAGCTATTACAATTCTTAATTTCTTCCTTGGCTAAGCATGCATTAGTGAATTAAAAAAAAACTCTTTTTAGTGCAAACTAGAAATATGGTCTGTATAGCTCCCCAGTTCCTCTTTTCCTATTGCTGGGTAAAAACACCATTTCATTTTAGTATTTCTGAGTATAAGTAAGTTCAAACATAACTTTATTGGCCATTTCTCTTTTTCTGTGTATTAATTACTTGTTAATATACTCAGATTTGTATTAAACCCTTCCTGGTTAATCTTCATAAGAACGCTTATATATAAACATTTTTAAATACATACTGTAATATGGGGTTTTCCATATTGTCTTACAGCTTTGTTAAGTGCCATGACATTACCTGATGTTTTTTAAATCAGTTTTCATTTTTAGTTTTGCCTTTGAAATGATACTCTAAGAAAATTTTCTAAAATGTAGAAATATTTACCTAAGTTTTTTCCTAGGTTTTGTTTAGTTTTGTTTTTTTGTTCTGTGCTAGTTCTGGGATTTGAACTCAGGGCTTTGTGCTATTGGTAGGCTTTTTCCACTTATACTTGCTGCTCTACCACTTGAGCCATGCCTCCAATTCCAATTCTTTAGAATTGAAAAATATATTGAAGCTCAGGAAATTAAAGTGATTTATCCAAGTTCATTAACTAGTTAATGGCAGAATTAGTCTCCTAATTTAATACTTTGCTGGCATTCTTCATAGTTATAGGGCATACCATTACCTTCATTACCTATTTTGTATTTTCTATTGCTCAAGTCACATTTTATAACTACACATACTTATATAATATTTATATTCAGTATGTTTCAGAATATTGTTAGGAACTTTAATATTTTTCCTCACTACTAAGGAAAATTTCCTATATAATCTAGTAAACTTGTAAGAGATCTTTGCTCTTTAGAAAGGTACCTCCCTTGAAGCATAGTCCTATTTTCTAAATAGAAGTTAATCATAACTTTTCCTCTCTTTCTTTTTAGAGGGTATTCCATTAGGTAATTCAGAGGCAGACCGACAATTGCTGGAAGCTGCAAAGGCCGGAGATGTGGAAACTGTAAAAGTAAGATAAAATTGAATGTTTTTGTTAGCTTTAGAGTTTGTCTTTTGACATTGTTTAATGAATTTGTACTATTATAATGAAGGTCTTGGTTTTTGTGTGCCTTGCTTTAAAAGGACAAAAATATCTACCTCTGTGAGAATAAGGAACACTAGGTAAAGAAAGAAATAGATTTAAAGTTTCAGATTTCAGTAAGTACCACATTTACTAGTTTAAACAAATTTTATGTAACACCAAGTAGATTTTATTTAAAGAACTGTTCATTTGTCCCTTTAAAAGACTAATATGTAGTGGGGTGCCAGTGACTCACATCTATTATCCTAGCTACTCAAGAGGCTGAGATTTCAGGATTGTGGTTCAAAGCCAGCCTGGGACAGGAAAATTTGTGAGACTCATCTCCAGTAAAAACTAGCCTTGAGCAAAAGAAGCTCAAGGACTGCACCCAGACCCTGGGTTCCAAGCCCCATGACCAACACCAATAAAGAAAAGTAAGGTGTATACTGGGAATGGTGGCAAATACCTGTGATCCTGACATTGAGATGACAGGTGCAGAAAGAAAGGTCCTGCTTTAGGCCAACCATAACTACATAGCAAGACCTTGTCTCGATAAAAGGCAAAGACTGGGGTGTGGTTCAAGTGATAGAAAAACCTCATTAAGTGAGAGGCCATGAATTCAAATCCTGGAACTACCCCCCCCCCAAAAAAAAAAAAAACTCTACAACAAAAATAAGGTGCATCAAATTACTGTCCAGTATTGTTTACAGATGACATATAAACAGGTTTCCTCATTTCTTTCTCCCCTCTACCTCTGGGATCTATGTTGATACAGTAGTAATACAGTTATTGCCACTTCTCAGAGCCACTGTCTTCTAATATTCCACTGTTAATCTAGACTACTGTTTGTTTTGCTTACAGCAACCAACTTTGGTTCTTGTCTACCCCATTTCCTAAATCAGTCTTCCTCAGGAAAGCTTTTCCTGAGATTCTGCTTAGACTTGATCATACATCTGTATGTAATGTTTTATTGCCTGTACCAGGTTATCTGTTATCTACAGAAATATTCTGATGAATAACTCAAAAACCTAATGTTTTCAAAGACCAAGAGTTTCACAATTCAGCTACTTAATACAAATTAGAATTTTTCAGCATGTTTTATTATTAGCCAAATCTTCAGAGGGTTAAAATTTTTAAAGCTAATTTTTAAAGCTTTCTGTATTTCCTTTTCAAAACTTGATGATACTTGAAGGGACAACAATGATTGATAAGTTCTTTCTTTTTTTTTGTAAAGATACTATACAGAGGGTTACAGTTACATGAGTGAGGTAATGAGTACACTTCCTCTTGAATGATTGATAAGTTTTATAAAAAGCTAAATTTTATTTATAGTAGAAGTAATTATTTGAAATAATTTAACTATATTTCTATATAGTTGTTTCAGTCCTAAACAGACCTCCTGCACAATGTCAATTTAGACTTTTTTCCCCCCAGTCATGGGGCTTGAACTCCAGGCCTGGGAGCTGTCCCTAAGCTTTTCAGCTCAAGGCTAATGCTCTACCACTTGAACCAAAGCACCACTCACTGTTTTTGGTGGTTAATTGGAGATAAGAGTCTCACAGACTTTCCTGCCTGGGCTGGCTTTTGAACCGCAATCCTCAAATCTCAGCTTCCTGAGTAGCTAGGATTACAGACATGAGCCACCAGTACCTGGCCTAAACTGTCTGATGGAGAAATGCATTGTTGGCCTCATTCTGGAGCTTCAAGATAATTTATTCAGTGGTTTTGGGTTTTTACTTGCTTTTGTTTTTTGAAATAGGGTAAATCTCATGTAGTCCAAATTCAGTTCTCTCAGCCTCACAAGTTATTGGGATCACAGATGTGTACCACCATGCTTGTCCTTGATCTCTTAAATGAAAAGCTTTCTGAAAACTGATTTTTTTAATGCATCTTACCCTTTTATTTTGCTGAATCTGAATAGGGAAATTGTTTTTTGCAAAACAAATGATAAAAACTTAAAGGCAAATAGATAAGGACAGACAGCTAGCTGACTTTTTGTATGCATGTGCCAAGAAATTGGTAAATTTTAAATGCTTACTCATTTATCCTTATTGAAGAACATAAAGCCATTTAACCAGTTTCAGAACATGAAACTGTTATAAGCATAAAATTATATAATCAAACTTTGCCAGGAATAGTGGTACACCTGTTTTAACCACACCAGGATGTTAAGGCAAGAAGATCAAGAGATGGAGCAGCCTAGGTAACATAGCAAGACACTGTATCAAAAGGAAATAGTTAAGCGTTGTTTTATAATAAAGGAGCCCAGAAGAAGAAATCAGTGAAGAAAAATACAAGCTTGAGGGTAGAGTAGACTTAGAGAATAAAATAAGACCATCTCTCCCTGTGATAGACATTAGTCTGTCTTCCTTCAGCTTGTAAAATCCCCTTGTTGGAAGCTTATCACCATTAACCTTTTTCTAAGCAAGTGGATCTGTATGTATCAAGAGCATCTGCCTACCAGTGAATACTTACGTGCTCATTTGTATTTAGTGGTGACCCATTAGTCTAGATGATTTATCAAATGACGTTAGAAAAACCTGACTGAGAATGGATAAAATTACGTAGGAAGTAAAATGATCTGTAATAATTACCACATCTAGTAGTACTTGGTACTCGTATTAAACAAATTCATTCCTGCTCATTGGACACTAGTGAAAGTGAACTATACAACTCGTGAATAGAGATGAGAGGGAGAGACTGGGAGAGAATGTCTCACATAATTGTAATCTCTTTGTACATCAGCTTTATAATAACAACAAAGTAAATGGCTATTAAAAAAGAAAATGAACCAGACACCAGTGGCTCACACCTGTAATCCTAGCTACTCAAGAGGCTAAGATCTGAGGATCACCCTTCAAAGCTAGCCTGGGCAGGAAAGTCCATGAGACTCTTATCTCCAATTAACCACCAGAAAACCTGAAGTGATGCTGTGGCACAAGTGGTAGAGCACTCGCCTTGAACTGAAGCTGAGGAACAGCGCACAGGCCCAGAGTTCAAACCCCAGGACAGACCAAAGGGAAAAAAAAAAAGGCTGGGCGCTGGTGGCTCCCGCCTGTAATCCTAGCTACTCAGGAGGCTGAGATCTGAGGCTTGCGGTTCAAATTCAGCCCAGTCAAGAAAAGTCTGTGAGACTCTTATTTCTAATAAGCCACCAAAAAACCGGAAGTAGCGCTGTGGCTCAAATGGTAGACTGCTTGCCTTGAGCTGAAGAGCTGAGGGACAGC